AGATCGAGTAATAGTTAGTTGTTTTACTTACGGAATTTTCTAGTGCCATCGTGCTATTTGATCCTGGTATAACTTTTAGCAAAATTTGCGACAACAAAGAACGGAAATTTTTTTGCTGCACATGCTATTTTTTACAGTGCACCAAAGGCGCTGTAGATGTCTTTTGTATCTACGCTAATGTATAATTTTAAGATGCAGAGGATTCCTGTTCCATCAACTCAAGTGTATACTGTAAAGATGCAGTGAATTCTTGTTGTATTTTCTAAAGATGAAATTGATGTCTCTTCTATCAACTCTATTGAATGCTCTAAAAATGGAGTCGATGCCTCTTTTATAAACTGTAGTGTGTCCTGAAAAGCAGGGCTAGTGATGACAATACGCAGGAAATTCCTCGGTAGCAGCGTCCCTCCATCAGCCGACCGGTGTTTGGAGACACAATTTGCCGCAAGTGAATTCCTCCAAGGCGGTAGAATTTCCAGGCTGTTCGCTGCAAAACATTCCAGAAATAATCCGAATCTGCAGAACCACTGCGGTTTTATTGAGCATTTATAATGAATGATTCGGTGAATTAAAAACTCTCTAATCATTGGATATTTATATTACCTAAATGGAGTTGAGTTTCAAATTCCGCACTTTTTCTTTAGGGCTTTTAGTGTAGAAATGCCTTATTTATATCACCGACAAGGTTATAATTAATGAATTCTTTGTGATATCGTTTTACATGAGAGATTTTTTCAAGATTATCAAGTTGTTTGAGGCAAGTATGCAGAAATTTTTTTAAAGTGAAGGTTACAGAGAGTTTTGTTACAGCGGGGAGCGCGAAAATTAGAGCATAATATTAGAAGTTACATTTTCTGATTTAAGATAGATTTTAAGAAGACGCTTGCTGATGTTATCCTCTTTGGACCTGAATTGCATTAGTGAAAAAAAAAACAAAACATGAAAGCCAATCGCATTGGCCGATCGAGTTTACGATTGCCGCTCTGAGAATGAAAGTCTTTGATAGCAAGCGAGAGAGTCGGTAAAAAATCTTCATGTCTAATCGATTGGAATGCCTGGGCTCTCAAGCGAGATTAGAAACTCGGGTTTTGTTGAAGATAAACTAATATTAAAATAAAACGATACATGCGTTTCTCCTTTTGCTAATGTATTCAAACATAAAAATATTTACAGACCTCGATGCCTATAGATAAATGCTTGCACCTCTAATCCTGAACATTGATTCTAGACTATTTTAGAGGAGTTTCAATATTAATTCAAGCTAATTTTTCAATAAAAATACAAGTTTGGGGTTTCCGAGTGGTTATAATCATCAAGATCGGAGAAGCGAGCAGGGTTGGAAGCCAGCAAATAGTTGAGAAAATTCTGGTAAAAATCGGCAAGGTTGTCTAATAATTATAACATATTTGGATTGCTTGGAGAGCTTCGACCTAATGAAATTTATATGGGATGCTCGCGTCTACTGTGATTGAAATGGGATGCTTTCGTCCACACGGATTAATATTGGACTCTGTCGCCGTCTGGGATTAATGTGGGATGTTCGCGTCTACTGGGATTGATATAGGGTGTTCGCGCCTACTGGGAGTGCTATATAGGTGCATCTCGTTCACTGGATCAGCGATGCTCTGTGTAAGCGCGGATTTCATGTAAGGCTCTCATACACCAGGGACCATACTTTCAAAACTCGCTAAGTGAACGTAAGTATTTACGCTCTATTCTCTTGTCTGTGATTGGTTGATTTTGCTTGAAAGGCCGTCAATGATTGGCTGATGAACTTACGATCTCTTAACTTTTTCTGAAAGTACAGGCCCAGGGCTCCCACGCCCGTTCCTCAGCGTCGTGGCAATATCAGCGCCAGCCTCTCTCGTCGACGTCCTAGAAATGAATCGCCAACCAACTGACGGCCTCTCAATGGCTTCATTTGTGCATACTGATGGATAGTTACGTGCTATTATACTGCATAAGTATTGTTTCATTGCACTGATATGAAGTGGTGTGAGGTATATCTCTATTCGCCATACTAGGGGCATTACCTACCATGTTAATTGATTGTTTAAATGCATAAAGGTTTTGATTCAATGAGCTTCACTTTGTCACGTTCAGTTACATTTTTACATTCGCTGGAATGCCTTTCATAAGGCCAGTTGCTTCATGACCCATTAATTCACAAATAAACGGTATCCTGCTTGCATTTGGCTTCTTATTTTCTCATATGACTCCTGACGATCGTCGGAAACAATAAAATCATTGTAAATGCTGTATCGTAATTTTAATACGTTCTCTGATATAGCCTTTGTGTGGATATTTGTCATTCGTTGTTTGGCTAAAAATTCTACTCGGTCGCACTACAATATGATTGCAAAAGTGTTGCTCATCAATATAGACAAATAACAAGCTGACTAAAAAAATTAAAGTGAGTTGTGTTATTTTATTACTGATTTATAATGTATATTTTACAGTGAAGTTGTTCACTCATGTGCACTAACTGCTGACGTGGCATCATCATTGGATGGTTTTATAGACCTTACGCCCATTCGTCCCATGAAGTTATCGCAAAACGATAACTTCTGAGCCCCCAATTATGTTGTTTTGATAGTATGGGCGATTGGACGTGCTTGTTTTTCTTGCAGAGCTCGGCAACAGGATTTTATTGCTTTGTGACGTCATGCAATCGTCGGTTTGATGGCAATGAGACTTGAAAAGAGCTTGTAAAACATCCTAGTTTCCATAATACGAAATTATGCTCCGATATCCAACGATTTACTTTTGTAAACTGTTATTTACCTATTACGGCTTGAATGTATATATATAATTTTTCACCTTATTTCTTGCCTGTATTATAAAGTTTGTGATCGCATCAATTCGGAATCATCAAAAAGCTTTGAATAAAATTTCCAACGATGTCATTTATTCGTTCCCTCATTGTTCTTGCGGTTGTTTGCGGAATTTTTGAACTAATTCCTTTATAAATAAAACTTGTAATGTAAAGTTGATAATTTCAGATTGTCATTCTTACAAGACAAAACATGAGGTAAAGCAGCTTATCGATGTCTTCATATTTGAATAAACAGGACACAAAATCGTGCAGCAACTACTAGCGTTCTATATGTAATGAGAATTTCATTATTTAATGCTAAAAAAGTATTATCATCTTTCAAACGGTCTCATGCAAAATAACGTTCGATAACATCAATAACTAAAATTTCACTTATTTATGATGCTTGGTAACAGATTGCAAGATTATCTAAATGGGACGAAGGACACTGACACATGATATTTTATATAACAGGATTTACTGAACACAACATTTTATCTGATATTACGCTTACATTCAATCGTTGAGAGTCATTATGCACTATACATACACATGATAGACAAGCAGTTTATATTCACATGGAAAGCTATTCTTGTTACTCGTATGCATGTAAAAATGGGCGCGTCCATGGTAATATCGCGCGTTGTTAGAATGACTTGATTTACAAGTTTGATTCAGTGAAACTATTTTTCTTTGGAAGAAATGACTTGAAAATTATCAATTTAAGGTTTAGACAAGATAGATATCACTTAGAATAATTTTTTATTTTAACTTTTACCGTTCAAACAAAAAGGTAAAACTTTTTTTGAAAGTTAAAAAAATGCGCTATACTGAAAATATTTTCGTTGATACCGACTTTCACTCAATGGATTAACGTAACAATTTTCACAGTAGGAAATTCCGTCTGCGATACGGCATACAATTACGTTTTTTTCACTGATCAAAAGGCAAGACACTGAGCGGCTCCCGATCTTCCCTCTCCGATATTCTCGCGACGGCGCATGGAATTCCATTGATGAGACGCCGCAAACTGACTGCAGTATAGCGAGATGCAGAGACTTAACTTGGTCGCCAAATCGTGCATCATTCAAATAATCACGGTCCTCTTCCTGGATGGTGGATCGATACTATGCAGGCCTTCATGCATCAATTGGCCATTCATAGTCCTGAATAGTGAACCGATACCCTGGATGCAAGATTTCCTCCATCAATCAGCCAATCATCGTCCTGAACGGTGGATCGTTACTCTGAAAGCGAGCTGCGAATCGCAGACATTAAAATTACGCTCACCATTCAAATTCTTCTCAAGACTTTTTTGAATTCTTTGTGATGCTGCGGAAATAAAAAAAATAAAAAAAAGACGCAAATTGTTTAATTTGTTTTCATAAAACTTGGTCATAATTAGTGTTACTTTGCTACCTGAAAATTTTACGGCGTTTCTGGGAAAATGTTGCTTCACAAACCATGCCAGCAGTAACTTTTCACTTGATCTTGCACCTATTTATATATTTATATAAATTTATTTTAAGCTGATTTGATTTTTTGTAGATAATTCGTTGGCACTGATGCTAAGATCATCGTAATCATAGCAAAAATTGCGTGACAGGCAGGCGGAAGTGCTCGCTGTAAAAGAGCCTAATTTGCATGCATATTCTCGAGAGCTTCTCTTGTGCGACGCTCTCATTTCGCTGCAAATTAACGATCCCCGCCTGCCATAACCAGCGCTCAACGAGCATAACAGACGCGCAAACCTTGTCCTTTTGCCGCTCGACTTTTGTGCTCTTGCTACATTTCACCAGGACCTGAAATTTGCGATTGATCTTGTAAAGAAACATGGAGCATTGAAATATATGCAGAATGTATTTCATACCGTTTTTAATAAGATACATAATTGAAGCGTTGAATTTTTTCATAATTTCTTGCTGCTTTCAAAATTTCATAATTTGTTCATTCCAACAATTTGCTTCATGAGCCTAGCTCAAGAGAGGTCTCAAGAATTCCGGGAAATTTTTGAAATTTGTTTCAATATTTCTTCCAATATTATTTGTATGTTCTTTTACGAAAATCTGGAGGTATTTGGCGCATAATCTTTTTCGAACATCAAATTCATGATCACATAAAAACCAATCATTACGCAAAAAATTGGTTATAAATGTATTTATCGACGCAACTCATTCTAACGCAATACAAATGTACAGTCTTTCGTGGACGCACGGACTGATTTTTTTATGCTACAGGACCGACAGCAAGCGTGATATTTTTGACGAGGACTCGACTTTAGTGATTACATCGAATGCCTCCGTTGGGTGGTACAAACTCTAAGGCTCTGTCCGGTGGCAACTTATAGAGTTTTCACTCCTCAAGAAATAATTTATGTTATAGGTTTATGGGAGAACACACTTGACTATTTACAGAGTTAACCTTTCTTTTCTGGGTTCATATCGAAGCCCACTGGGATAATCCCAAAGAAGGCCGGGTTCCGGGTTCAAACCCGGGTTCCGGGTTCATTGTAAAGCCCTCTGGGCTTTAAAGCCTACTCCAAGATTGTAAAGCCTACTCCAAGATGTGACATTTTTAGCATGGATTCATGGGAGAACCCATTAAGCTACTCCCAGAGGTAGCATTTCTTTTCTGGGTTCATGGGAGAACCCACTGGACAACCCCAAGTTTCTGAGAAGAACGCTGAATTCTGCGCGACGACGTTTGTGCGGTAGACGCCTGGGCTGTGCATGTCGGTGCTGTATTTCTCGTAGCCTTCCTTGCTTACCACCTCACACCAGATCTGCCCATTATACAAACTTGAATTTTAACATGATGACATATATATATATATATTGATCGATAAAAAAAGTTTTATTAGTGTATCGCAAAATATCCATGTGTTCATTATTATATATATAATAATATATATACTATATTATATTTGATAATATGTATTCCCATTATATTTCTAGATTGACCTGGCCGAATGTGATGAGGAATATTTGAGGTATAGTATAGTTGAGGCCTGGCAGTAGAGGCTCGGTCGGGTTAAGGTCTGCCCAGCGCCGATAAGCCAGCCAGGCGTTCAGCAGGCCGGCGTTGTCGCAGATGTTGTCGCCTAGCGTCTCGTTGCCGTCAACCTTTCACGGGCAAATTTTTAAAATATTTCAGTTGAAATTACAAAATATTTGAAAATTTTAAGTCATTATTAGCTCACAGATTCAATACGACAATTTGTAAAACGACATTCATTTTCCGAGAGAGAAGAAGCAACAGGCTGCAGAGCGTCACTCGGTAATAATCTACGGAAACTGCTACCAACATTTAAGTATTATTTTTTGCCTGATGCATGAATAAGAATTCTCCATGAACCTACCAGCATTTAAGTATCATTTTTTACCCGATACGTGAATAAGAATTCTCCATGTACTTTGTGTAATATTCAATTTAGTTCGAACAAACCTTGATGATAATTTACATGAATAAAACTGCTTTCATTTCCTGTAAGCTTAGCTAAATTGCATCTACTGGGAGTTTGATATAGTTAGGGCTGAAAATCGCGTAGGACTGAATGACAGAATGTCGACGAGGAAAAAAAGTTCGAGAGTTAGCTTAGAGTAGGAAGCTTTAAGTTCAGTTGAAAATTTAGTACACAAAGCCAGAAAAACATAAGTAACTTCTCTGTAACGCATAACATATTTGTCAGACTTTTAAGATTTATTGAAGTTCTAATCAATTTTAAAAATTAGCTCATTTGTGTCAGAGTTTAACAATGAATCGTTAAAATCAGCTTGTATTTATTAATATCAGAATTTAGTGTAAGAAGAGCATGTTAAGAATGAAGACTGACATTTTTGTTGACCATTTCGATGGGGTACTGGCTGTACTGATCCACGAAACACGCCGCCCGCTCAGTGAAGTGCTCAGCCATCGCGTCACTCCACCATTGGCTTACGTTGCCGTGAGCATCATACCGCTTGCCTGGTCGTGTAATTACTTTCGTGTACAAATATTTCAAATGTAAATAGTGTATCTAATAGTAATTCTCATTCTCAATCTACGATTCTCAAGGTATATTTTCTGAAAACGTATATTAATATTTGAGATAATTGGAACTTTTCCTAAGTTTATCTATCCAAAAAATTAAATTATATCGCAAAGTTACATAATTATATAATGCATTAAATTTTTCAAGGATTCGAACAATTAATCAGATGACTTTAAAATATTATTACTTGCTAAACTTGCCTATTGATCCACCAATTTCATCTAAAGATTTGTTCGACTCATTGAAAATGGTAATGCATCATCTGGTCATTAATCGTACGCGTATAAACAAGAAAATTCTGACATCTAATACTAATACTCATTTATATGCAGTTCGGCATCCTCACTTTAAATAAAAATTGACAGATTTCATGTCCAAAAAGCAAAAATATGTACTTAAAGAATAACGCAGAGAATAATATCCTAAAGGTTCACTGTGCTGCTAACCATGATTGTCGAATCCATGCACCAGCTCATGGCCAATCACCACGCCGAGGCTTCCGTAGTTCAGGTACCTGTGTGGACATCGCATATCTTGACATCACTTAATTAATATTAACATGATCAGAGGCCGAACTATCATAAACAATTACGAGTTCACAACTCAGTCAGCAAATCACTGACAACGTTTCATGCTAAACCCGCTAATCACGAACGATAAATCGGCCGCTACGTGTACTTATAGGCTATCATATGTACTTAAGCAAGTTTTGACAGTACGCATGAAAGCTCTTTGTGTATTCGGCTTATATATAAATGTTTAAATAATTTTGTTGGTGTGTTTAAAACTTCCCGTTGTAAATATATAGGAGTTGTTGGGAGAGCGTATCCAGGATACTTCCGTCATCGAGATATTGCCCTGAACTGAAATTTTATTCTGAGGGGGTGAATAGGAAGGGATAGCAAAACTGGGAGGAAAGGGTTTGATAAAAAACTTAAATTTTTTATCAAATTTGTATATATAAATTTACTTTAAAAGACGCAAAATTTTGATTTTTTATCAATTTTGAAATTGGCGAGTCCCGGCAACATTAAACTCCCGGCGAGTCGACCGGGAGTTTAATGTAAAATGTGTAAAATTGTACGTGAAAGACAATAATGGCGTTACTCGTCGTTGAATCACCACTGAACAACATGGAACAACATGGTTTAAGCTCACACGCATGCAGTGCCATATAATGTAAGCAAAACATAAATAATAATAAAGCTGGTGTAACTTAAAGCCTCTTGTTAGCTGAGACCGCATTAAAATAATATTTTTTATCGTTACTACGAAAGAACATAGACTGGCAATGTACTCCATACTCACATTGGATAATCGGGGTTGTAGAATGGTTCTCTCAATATTCCCATCGGAAGGACTAACAGATCGGAAAGATGTTATTAGTATATTATTCTAAGGGTTTAATTAACAAAATCGAAGCATTTCATAATTAAAATTATATTATTAAAACTTGAACGAGTTTGTCACACACAAAAAAATGGTTGTATTTTCGATAAAACCCTTTTTAACAAGCAAAGTTAGGCGCAATAAATTAGGAATATTTTCAACGTTACACCAAAGCAATTTATATCACAAAGAAAGCGGAAACTACATGTTGCAGATAACATTTTATAAGAGTTGAAATATTTTTAATGATGCGTGGTAAGTTATGAATGGACTTGAAGGTCTATGAGTCAATAATAAAGGCTCATGCATATATATGCTAAATTTAATTAACGAGCATCACAATACAAAATACTGGTCTCTGTGATGACCTTGTGATTTAATTAATGAGCATCACGAGACATAATACTGGTCAATGTGATGACCTTGTGATTTAATTAATCACCACAACACATAATACTGGTCACTGTGATGACCATGTGATGTAATTATTCACCACAATACAAAATACAGGTCACTATGATGACCATGTGATGTAATTAATCACCACAACACACAATACAGGTCACTGTGATGACCCCTAGGACTCACTGATCTCGTTGGCTGTGGGGTTGTGGAAGGCATTAACGATCAGAGGTTGGATCATCCAGTCCCTGCAAGAGACGTCAGGAAAATATATACACTGCCTTTTAATTTGAACATTATTTGGGCAAATCTTTCTTAATGTGCATCTATTTGAACTCAAATTACTTCTAATTTAACCTCACTCTGACCATCAGTTACGTTTCTACCTTCAGGCACATTGTCTGGAGTGATTCTATTCAGTGCAATCATGAACAGTTTTTCATAGATAGAAAATGGGCTATTATTTACATGTTTAAAATATTGTGATACTGTTCCGCTATGTAACGCCTTCCTCAAAGGACGCTACGCCTAGAACGATTCAGCACTAATTTACACCTCCTGGCGTACTGAGCTCTAGGCTAAAAAGGAGGTTCAATAATTTTGTACTAAATCAGTTTCTTCGTTTAATATTGAAGGAACTAACAGTTGCAATTATTGAATAAATCTGAAAAAACACGAAAAATGAATACATAATACAAACTTTAGCACGGTTATGATAAATGTAAGAGAATCTCAAAAATGCACCAGAAAATACACAAAAAGCTTATGAACTAGGAACACTGAACAGGTAAAGCGACCCTGGTCGCGGAAAGAGTAAAAGTGGCCGGCGGAGATATGTGTCCGTAAATTGCTTACTCTAACAAGTGTTGCCACATGGGCATTTCGCACTACATAATCGCTAAATTAATGAGCTGCGGCTACACGCTATATTCAAATTTTAATCGTACTCTCCTGTCCTGCAATGTGTTGTTATTACAAGTCTGAACAAATTATTTCACACCATTGGTTCACTTTAAGATAGTTTTCGAATTAAATTTCGAAATGCAAACATAGAGATGTCGTTCATTTGTATCGTAAATTTGCTCTGGTCTGGAAATATTAGGAGAGTTTCAATTCTAACGCGTAATTGTTTTATTGTTTAATGTTAGAGTACCGATTACACGCACAAATATGAATTCTCTGCACGAGCAGAGAATTCATATTCGTGACGTAATTCAGTATGCATGTCCAAATCAAAGTCCGTGTCGGGCTTGAGGCGACACGTCTGTTCTTCTGACAATTTTGACTGTGGCTCCACAAGCTCTGCGCAGTCAACCACGTAATGTAGCTTCATAGTTTATATTACATTAGCAGGAAACGTAGTTTTTCTCAAGCTTTCTTGCTGTTATGTGTATTTTATATTAACCATGTTCTTGTGTCGGATAAATATTTTGCGCAATTTTTCGTCGGCGAAATTAACTAAGTACCTGCAGAATGTATTTTTAAGTTAAATTATTTCCCAAATCTGAACCTAGTGAATGCAGAGACAATGAAAGTAGAAATAATGATAGGGAAGGTACATGCGTAATGATAGATAGATGATATATATTGCTTCAAAATAGGCCGATATGAAAGAACTCACTTGTTTTTGTCGACAGGCCGGGACAATTTGTTTAGCTCCTTCCAGACCTCGTACTCCTTCATGCGCAAAATGTTGTTCAGGAAATGGTCCTCCAATATCTCCAACTGTCGACAATATTGGTGCTCGCTCAGTAGCATTAATGTTTAGGCTTGGTCAAACTCATATTATCATTTGGGGTTAGGTTAGGTAATAGGCAAGTTATCATTTAGGCTTAGGCTAGGACGAGCTAAAGGTAGCTTCAGGGTTGGGCTAGGACGTTTGCATGTTACATTTAATGTTAAGTTTAGATATCTGCACGTTATCATTCCTGGACAGGCGTAGACGTTTTCACGTTATCATTTTGGGTTAGGTTCAGAAGTTTGCACGCTGTCATCAAGAGTAAGAACCAGAGCATCAGAAATGGAATGAAGTAAAATAACTTACGGAAAATGTTTAATTATTTGATAAACCAAATTAGGCAGGGAAATAAAAAAGCCATTAGAAGAGAATAATGAAATTCGTTGCCGTGTTGCTATTAGCACGCTCTTGAATCTTAAGTAGAATCAAGTGCTCCTGAATTGACGGACCGAATCATGAAGCTCACGCTTTAATATCCTCTTTCCCTATCCCATCATTTTAATTTCCTAAAAATATCCTCTTGAATATGCATGGAAAAAGACAAGGCTATAGCTTTTGCTTTTTTCTGTTTTCGTATCTTCTAAGGAGATGAGCTTGCTCATCTTCCTCGAGCCATAAAGCAAGCCAGGCAACAAAAATTCTCAGAAAGTCTGAAGCTAAAGCCTCGTGAATGCGAGCACTCACCCCATCGAACTCAGCGTTGAGCAGCTCATCTGACTCAATGTATTCAGGGTAGCCAATTTTCTTGCCCATCAGGTAGAGCTGTTTGAAGATCGAGGAGAGCAAAGGAGGGAACCATTGCATTATGCGAGCTTTCCGGAATATTCGAGCTTTGTCAAAAGAAATCTTGGCCAACCAACCAAATGGCAGGGGCTTTGAGTGCACATTCTGGTACAGTGAGAGCGATCAGTGATTTTGAATTTTGTGAGTACGAGAAACTATCATATTGATGAATGTAAATTCCGAATGAAGTGGCAAATTGGAAGCTTCTTATGAAATAATGTATCAAGTTTCATGATTGAATGAAATATGTATTAGAGATTGTGAATATTTTGTGATGAAAAAAGAACTACATAAAACCTAAATGTCTGCAAAAAATAATACCAATGCACACTGTTTGATTTACAAACAAAATTTCTTCTCCAAGCCACACTACGAAATATATTGCAAATTGCTTAAACATTTTTTGTGTGTCAGCATATGAGAATATACCTCGCATTTATAGCAAATGATGCAAAACCATTACAACTCTTTTTAGGTTCTATGACCCGACCTTGTCGCTGCACACGGACTTCATGTCTTTCTCCAGCCAATTCTGTCTCTGGATGACGCGGTGGAAGGCTGCCCGAACCTCTTCCACGATTTTATCCACCTGTTGAATTCGTTGATAATTCAAAACACTCTGCAATGTGAGTTTTACTATGCAACCATTGAATAAATAATAACTGTCGATTTAGATTGCTTTGATAATCGCAACAATCATATTTCGCATCGAAAATTACTGAAGAATTCATTCAGCAACAAGCACGTATGCGACTGTTAGATTCAGCACTTTCGAATAGAACAGAAGAACAAAACTCCGATAGAAAAATATAATGCAAAATAAAATTGGTAATAAAAACAAGGATAAGAAGCCAATGCTATTGCTATGAATTTGTTTAATCTATTTCCTGTTTTTCTCGATTGAACAACGACAAATAATCAATTCACACATAGACAACGCGCACCTGTGGCGGGACCTCTGGCGCGTAGTGCGCTTTAGCGTAGGTGCGCGCGAGCGCTGCGCCGAAGCCTTCGTTCACGAGCGCGGCGCACTCCTTCCAGCGACTGACGTACGTACGCTCCTCGAACGGGTCCGGCACCTGCAGACGCATCGTGAACATTTCTGCGGTCAACGCGGACCACTTGAATTTGGTTACCGGGTTACCGGTCAAAGCGAGTCCTGTTATTCTGACCAGAGGATCACCGGTCAAAGCGAGTCCCGTTATTTTGGTCAGCGGATTACTGGTAACAGCGGGTCTGCTTATTTTCAACGGCGGGTAATGTTCAACGCAGGCCAATATTTTTTGACTAACAGGTCACTGGTCAAAACAGGACTGTTGAATTTGCCAAAATAAGCCACTTTAATTTGCCCAACGAGTCACCGTTCAAAGCGAGCCTGCTGACTTTGACCTTTAATTTTCATGCCAACTTCAAGTGTTCGTTAGTCTGCTCAACGACCAGCAGGCCCACTGAAGGAATTTGAGTTGGCACTTATAAATTCATATACTCAATATAAACAAATGACAATCAAATATATTCTTCCTAATCTCACAACAGAACGTATTTCGTTTTCAAGTATTGCTGGGTATCAAGTTCATATTTTCATGTGTGTTGTGAATAGTAATACATTTCCTACTGGTCTTACTTTAATTGCGCATTATTAGTCGAGCGGAGAACAACAGTAATATTCTTCGGGATAAACTCCAATGTAAGGCGCAATGTTACATCATCGGATTCGTATGCAGCTACGTACGTAGCTATAATACAAATATTTTCTATCTAGTTAGTCTTAGTATCCAGTATATAGATAGTTGATATATATTAACCTCATTCCTGAACTGGTGCCACAGCTGCTGGAAGTAGTTGCTGATGTAGGGCAGGAAGCGCAGGACGAAACGCCACATCAAGTAGTCGACGATCACTCTGTAAATATTAGTTAACAAATTGATTGCTTGAAGCTCTCCCGTTAAACATTGTGAATGTAATGTTCCCATAACCCTGGCACCTTATGCTGTCATAACCAGCGACAATTATCGTTGGGTAATTGATGTTTACTTTAATGCAGTGATCAAAGGCGCGAATATAAAACATTTTGTTAACTTTAATCTAACAGAAACCAAGGAAATTAAGTTACTATCGATGGTTGATTGTTAAGGGAACGGTAAAGCATCATAAGTTTTTTATTAGGCTTGGTTTGGCTGGATGTGATACTAATTGCATTATTGATTCGGTATCATCTAATTATTTTCGTGCGCATCAACCCGAGTTCAATTCTATTGCCTACTCGAATTTAATGCATACATGCTAAGGGCCATTGGTTCTTTCGGCGATGACTTAATGTCATTTCTTCCTGTTTTGTAATGTTGACACTAACTCGTGTTGTATAAATTGTACCAAATAAATGGTAAAAGCATCCTTATTTGTCTATGAAATAACGGCGAATAATTCTCCCATGCAAGTCCGCCATAATAATTTCTCGCGGGCGATCGAGGAGCAAATTTCGATTTGCATATCCGGGGCATGTGAGGTTTACGTTGATAACAAGTAATTACGGTTAGTTTATTGACAGTTATTTACGTCAGTTGTGGCAGGCCTCACACATAAAAGCAATCAACAATAGTCCACAAAGCCAGCTAACGAACTTCCTTGCATTGCTGCGGTTTGCGGCCCAAATTAAAGTATGCAGTTTTAATGCATGCAAATAAGGAAGTTGGTGCTCGTTTATGCGCTCGCTAGCCATGTTGATGAAGGTTCCTCGAACTCATTGAATGTGCGCATCCATTGTAGACCAAAATTTACGGCATAAATAACGGGTTGTTCAGTTACTCATTTCTCACAGGTACGGTTAGCTCTTTTTGCTTTCCGTAAACGTAATTAGTTAAATTATTTAGTTAATTAAATTACAAATTAATTTTTCAAACAATTATGTTCGAAGCATGATTAGAATGCCGATTAAAAGACTTTCTGATGCATTAAAAATTCATAATACAAGACAATTGCGCATTTTTAGAAATAGTCTTCGCGGGCAGGTATATTTTTTGCATTTTCAAAACGTATTTTCAGCCATAACTGAAATAAAAGGTAATATTCAGGAGGATTCAGCTCCCGACAAATGAAAATTATTCAGTCTTACACCTGGGTTGAAGAGCTCTAGGCCCAAAAGATAGTTTTCACGTGGATGCTGAGGAATACTAAGCACTGTCCCTTTATCTTGCGAAATAAAAACATGCTGATTAATGTTACGTATGAAAGTTCTTTCTTGCAAAGACTAGGGTATTAAGATTTTTTCTTTTACATAGATATGGTTAGAATAACGTAGAGTTTTGATGTAGACATGGAACGACGCGACTCGCCTTTTGGGTGTGTCGTCGAGAAGACTGGTGAGCTCGGTGACGTAGGGGATGCAGTAGAGCGTCACCACGAGGCTTTCCACGTCCAAGCCCAAGTCTGGGAAACGCACCAGCGTCCCACGCAGCAGCCGTGACCACGAGATCTGAAACAGAGGTCATCATACATGAGGAATTATTTATAAAAGGCATGACAGTAAAACAAGTAGACATGCCTCAAATGAAAAATTCTAGACAGCAAACTAGACTACCAATTTCCTATTTACGATGTTAGCTGCGACCAAATTATCTATGGTCACGGGCGGATGAGATCAAACGATCTTCGAGCAAAACACAATTTCACACGAGCAAAGCACAACTGCACAAGCACAATCGGTCATTTCAATACAAGTCTAAATGTCAATCTAAACATCAATATAAGTCTTTTTCATTCGAGATACAATGTGAGAGTTTGACTTGAGCGACGCTAAAGTCTGCTCTTGAGGGCGAAGGACTTGGCGACGTTGAGCGAACGTGGCCAGAGTCATCAGCGTTGGAATTGAAGTGTCAGCTGCTGTCACCTTACAAGTCAACGCGCTGACGCGTGGGCAAGACCACCAGCAATCAAGAACAAGTGTCCATCCACAGAGGATATTTAATTATTATGAGTCATATATATTGCGTCCTATAGTCTGTCATATACATTGCGATTTGGTATGTTTATGTTTTTCTTCTCCATTGTCGCGAAAAATTGTTCTAAGTAAATTAGAAGCCGGTGTCAGAAGTGTTGCAAAAATGGTATTAATTAATGTGTTGACAAAGAAACTCCTACGATTTGCACCTTCCATATCACGGACACAATTCGCGAGATTCACTTGCCTGCGGGAACTTGAGTTCCAGGTCTGCCACGGACAGCCTCGGGTTGGTCTCGTCCTCCGCTTGCTGAAGCTCCTCTTCCGTGAGATTAGCTGAGCTTGTCTCGCAGGCACGCAGAACGCTGATCTGAAGGGACATTTTTGCAAAAAAATGTACTTATAAAACCAAATGTAGATTTCGACTTAACCGTTTAGCGAGGACTTCTGCTTCAAGGCATCCAGATATGTTTCAACGCACGACTTGAATGAACTGTACTTTTAAGTATCATGTGGAATTATTTTTAAACAAACAGCATTGGTTCATGACGCATTAATTTGTATTTCAGAATAATGTATAAATTTATGTTTCTACACACAATGGATAATCGAAAGCCTGTTGAAAGAAATAATCGAATGACGTTCCACTTCCTGCAGCAAACTAGAACTAAACTTTCTGAATAGGTTGTGGTTTAGAATTAATGTGTTCGCAGACTTTTTTCAAGTTCAGTATGAAAACAACTAACCCGCAATGAGAATATTTTTTAATTTTTAGTTTTTCTTCATACCCTACCAGTTTATCCCCAAACTTTAGCTTGCATTGTAGCTAAAGCCTATAAGGTTGCTGCGCACGACATTCTAGAATCTAGATGATCCGAAAGAAATTTCCATTGTTTCTTTTGAAATTTTTAGGCGTTATGGACTCGAAGAAGAGGAAGTCTTTCTCACGTCCGCATTTACTGCCCGCACTCACGTTAGCGAATCTTGTCTCGAACTCGATGAGGTCGTCGATGTGAGTTTCATTTGGTTTGCTATCTCCAGGCAAGAGCGCCACGAGCGTCTCTGAGAGCAAGGCTCTGTATGTCTTCATGTAGCCTCGGTATTCCTCGTTGCTAGTGTTCAGGTAGTAACTTCTCGACAACGCCGGTGACCCTTTGTAGAACTGGGTAAGTACAGAAATTATTTTAGAGCTCATTGGAGGTAGTAGAGAATATTTGAAAAATAATTCATCGTGACGCAATTGAGTTTGTCGAGGCTAAAAATTTGTGATTTTAAAAAGCGCAGATGAGAAACAAATCGAATTGTGAATATTAATGATATATATATGTAAATGCATTTCTTTTAAAAAAAAACTTTAATGAATTCAAAAATTAAACCTGTTGTAATTCAGTCTTATTGGGAAAAAATTCCCTTGCAACTACTGGAAGTACTGAAGGAATATGTTGAAAGACGAATATTGGTGATACCATATGTATCTAATTATCACGACTGGCAGTGACTAATTTTTCACTATTTACATTGATTTAAAAATATTTGTATTGCCTCAGAACATGCCTGCAAAGAATACATTGATGAGTTTCTCTCATCGGGCGTGATGTAAGAATCGAAGAACGTGTTCACTTGGTAGACCGTGAGGTGTCCAAGCAGGTCTTCCAAATCGTACATGTCGTCGGTCCATCTGTCGTCTAAGATGGGCCACAAGCCCAGCTTTTCCTCTGTCAATATCTCAAAAATAGGCGAGTCTGCCATGTCTTGCTGGTGAACTGTGAAGCCTGGTAGGGAGAAGAGAGATGAGTTAACGCCATATTAGACATATCTATCATGCATACAATATCAATTATTGTAAGATAAAGGCACGAATTCGCGACCAATCGAAGCAACTTTACAAGGACACCTGAAATTATTCGATTCACGATGAGTGAATTTATATATTCAGCTTGCCTAATAATACGCCTACTAATTTACATGACTAAGTTAAAATAAGAACTCATTATACGCATTCAAACTCAGACAATTTTGTGAACTGGGACCGGGTTCTACATTCTGGGCAAGAGGACTTTACTTGCTCATGAATGACAACGTTACAAAAAGATTCTGATAAATAAAATAAAGCGTTGTGCGGAATTTTTTGTTCACTATAGCAACAACGTAACAACAAATAATAATTTCAAGTCATGTCCAATCAGCACCATTTCTTGCGTCACATTTATCGTGAAAACTAGCACTTCGTGTGCCGCTGCCCTGCTTCTCAGCAAGCTGAGCACATTAGTGCAATTATAGTTGTGTTCTGCCACGCATTCGCGATTAAATTAAATTATATGAAATTCTTTGAACCCAGCCTCCAATATTTTGAGACTCAAAAAAAATGTGTCGCATGAAGCGTTCCTGTAAAAAAAAATACGTTTTTCTTTTGTGTATGAATATCGGAAGCTTGATTCTCTTTGTACACGCAAAATTTGTCTCAAGCGTCGATGAATTTCAGCTCTGTGATCTCTTTGTAGGCTTTATCGGATCTGTGAAAATTTATATAATAAAATAGAAAATAAATTGAGTGATGCAACAATGCTTTCGCAGGTAGCTGCGCTTTTCCCGATAGTAGAGATCTTGATTAAAAAAAATTCAAACGCAAATTAAGTAAAATCTACGCTGTCTCGATGTGATTTATCTTGCACGTGCGTAATATACTCACTCATAGTCTAAACTTGAAAGGCTTTTGAAATAACTTGATGAGATTAAAATTTTACCTGCCATGAATTTTTACATTGAAATTTCACATTCAAAATTAGACTATAGAGCAAGAGACCATACTTTAAAAAGAATGACTTACTTGTGTTCATGCAAGAGTGATAGAGTCTTTTGGCTTTACCCATGGCCTCTGTTTCGTTCTCTTCTTCTTCTGCTGTCAACATTTCTGGACATAAATGGAGAACAGCGTTTATTTCATATTTTGAAAATTTGATGTTTAAAAGACCTGATAACGAATCTCTCGGTTTTAAAAAATTGCGACATCTTGGCAAAAGGTTCATAAATTACAATAAAAAATACCTGAGCGATGGCGAAGCTTAACAATAACGATTTTTAGATTGCACAAAAACTGCTAGGTTTAAATTCTGTGGTTGTCACTATTGCATAGAACTCAGTTTGAGAGCGTATCAATAAATTATTTAGCTTATGAATTCAATAGAAAGTTAGGGTCCAGAACAATTCATTATCTATACACGATCCATTATACTGATGATTATTTGTGCTCACTTCTGATGATGACGAGCACGTCTTCCTGCATCTGCTGCATGGCAGACCTGTAGTGAGCATCGTCAGGCACGACGTGGTCCTTGACGTACTGACCACACGTGTACTGATCCAACAACGCCATCGTCGCGACCAAGGTTTCGTGGTCACATAAAATGAAGTTAGAAGCAACACTCAGCGGAATCATTCACAGGGATACAATGAGATGTACATATATGGTTCGTTCTGACGATGAAGTAAATTGTCGAATAGAAGTAGGTAATAATCGGTAAAGGCAGCATCGTTTCTTATGAAGGTTACTTCGTACCTTATAGAGGTAACATCTTTATTCAGAGAATTACCATCACATAGAGGTATCATCGTCACTCAATGTAGCAGCAATGTGCCTGACACATGTATCATTGCATCAGATAATAGCAATTGCGTTCTGCATTGTACCGGCATGGTGCCTGGTAGTACCGATCTATCACCTGATAGAAGTCATCACAAGGGTCTACAGTATATGATAATAGCAATTGTGTCCCGCATTGTACCGGCATGGTGCCTGGTAGTACCAATCTATCACCTGATAGAAGTCATCACAAGGGTCCACAGTTCTGTCCATGCTGTCCAGGAGGCGGGATGAGGCTCTAAGACACGCAGGACTGTAGCAAACATTCGCTCCTGTAGGCGGCGCCGACGACACAGAGCTCCGCACCTGTGACCTGCTGCTGGGGGCGTTCTGACGCCCTTGGGTGCCGTTAAAAAATTGTCCTGACGAGGAGAATTCATTCTTTTTATACGAATAGAATAGCAGAACCGCCATTGACAAAATAGCTGCAATAATACGCGACGGGATCTTATGACGTTATCACGAAATATCTTGAAATGACAAAGTTTTCGAATTTGAAGCATCAACATGTCTTATTTGAATGAACTGAATTTTTTGTCACAACTTGAATAAGAAAGGAGAAGCGTGTTAACATTTATTGAATTTTAAAAGTACCGCTAGAAATGATATTATATTCTCGACGCAGTCAGATAACAATATACATAGATAAGTGTAATGTATCACTTCAAATGCATGGATGAAATAGCTACAGCAATCATGAATGCAAATTAAATTATGTAAAAACTATGCAAATCGTGTTCATAGCAATGATTATATATCAACATAATGAAATTTATCCTTCAATGATAACTTTGAGGGACTACTTGAAAAAATTTAGGGTCAGGGCAGCTTTTGACTTCCGTACCCAGAGTCTGGGACGACTTTAAATTGTGTTTACTCAGGGACTGTATTTAAATAACAGCGGTCATGGCACTTAGAAAAATTAGTGAGACTTTGTACAAATTTCAATCTACTATTATGATCCTGTATGGGTCATCCTGACCCAGTTTGGCCCGGCAAAACGGCGCATCAATGCTATGCCCGCTCTTGTCTTATGCGGTGGGTAAGAAAGTGTATCGCTATTTAGACAATATAACCCATTTTTTATCTTCTGAGTGTGACGTGCACTAACGGGCGTGGGGGCGCAGGAGGATGACGGTGGCGAGGGCGGCGATGACGGCGAGCAGCGCCACCACGAGCGTCAGCCACACGCCACGCTCTGCCCCGGACACTTGGCCGCACCTGCCGGCCCAGCCTTACTATAGTCGCCACATGCGTGATACTTGCCACATGTGTGATACTCGCCACATGTGTGATACTCGCCACATGTGTGATACTCGCCACATGCGTGATACTCGCCACATGTGTGATACTGGCCACAAATGAGATACTCGCCACATGTGTGATACTCGCCACATTCGTAAGACTCGATACATTCGTGATAGCTGCTACATGCGTGACAAATTATGACATTTGATTCATTTATGTAATTCAAAATCGAGGCACACACATTATCTCACTAACCTCTCAGTTGTCTTGACTAACATGCGTGATACTCGCCACATGCGTGATACTCGCCACATGCGTGATACTCGCCACATGTGTGATACTCGCCACATGCGTGATACTCGCCACATGTGTGATACTCGCCACATGTGTGATACTCACCACACGCTCGATACTCGCCACATGCGTGATACTCGCCACACGCTTGATACTCGCCACACGTTTGATACTCCCTCATTCGTGATACTCAACACATTCGTAAGACTCGACATCCCTGATACCTGCTACGTGCGTGATATATTATGACATTTGATTCATGCATGTAATTCGCGATCATGGCACAAACATTATCTCACTAACCTCTCAGTTGTCTTGACTCAATAACATACCATATAAAACCATCATCAAACTATAGATAATAATAAGTCGACTACGACTGCTTACTGAATACAAGATCAAGATAATTGAGACATATTGACCGCTTATCAAGAACCTGCCTTTGAATCAACAGCTGGAGTCAACCTCAACGTTAGCGCTCGACCGTTGGACAAGAGGACATTCTGGTAAATTAGTTCGGTTTGTTTCTAATCCTAGAAATAATCTCTAATTTACAATTTATTTCCCATTAATCGAGAGAAGCTTCTACTGTAGATGCTTCAATTAAATTGATGAGACATAAGAATTCATTCATTTGCTATCTTTTTGAAAAATTATAAATAATTCTATCAGAGTGTAAATTGAGCTGTGAAAAATATAAGGGTGTAAAGTCGACATAGATCTAGTGCTCTCCACATGACGATAATCTTCCGATGATTCTTTCAGCGATGATGAGTATCTGAATTAATTTTCGTTGACCCGAAACAATAATTAAATTGTTGATTTTTAAAGAAGCTGTTGGTCCTTGATTGAATACCTTGAAAACCAACCGGCATTTTTTCTCTCTTGGCCTTATAACGCAGGATGTTAACACCTTAATCCGTAAATTCCTATCGAATGGTTTGAATATCACTGAATATTTTGATATTAAACCGACATTTTTGGCATATTCAGAATCTTAGAATCTCAGTAAAACACGAGAATTTGGTTTTTCAAAAGTTAATTTCATTATCGAATCTGTTCCGTAACAGCGGCTAAAAATACCACGACGATTCCAAGCCACGCAAGCTGCACCACGCAGACACTTGACGGTCTACAGGCCTGAAGAATTCATTAAGCGTAACGTTGTCAAATGAGTAGCAATTTATAAGCGTTTCCATTCAAAAGTCAAGTAATTAGGAGGTAACGATTTAATTTGGCGTGGGCCTCCAACAGCTGTGGACGTGAGCCCTAATCGGCAGCAGCTTGGGGTGAAGTTGAACACTTGCGCGTCTTGCGCTGAGCAATATTTGTTTCCTAAGCACCAACTAACAAAAAGATGTTTTTTCGTGAAATTCTTGGTCCCTTATTAGATTCTCTGATAGTTTTTATTGCTTAATTTGCCGTCTTGCTCGTGCAAGCGAAAAGTGACCAAAGCAAGTTCGTACCCCATCTTATAAAGTAATTATGTATTCGAATAGAAATTTTGGATATGCTCTGAACGTAACAAATTAAGACTCATTATGTGTTGCACGTAAATGAGTTTTAAAAATATAATTTAAGGGAGTTTTAAACTCATTACACCGTTCGAAAAAGTACGAAAAAATTTTCTGAGATCATTTTGTGTTTGTTGGAAAGCATTTTTGCTGCTGATTTCAAAACTGACTTTCTTTTTTCTCTATCACGTCTAGTTTTTGAAGTATTTGCATTTTAAAGGGAAATATTTATATTGATATAATAATTATATATGTATTTTTAACATAACTATTTTCTTAACTGAAGCTAACCCCCTACATTAATATTTGTTATTAGCAAGTAAATGTTGAAGGTGCCTGTGGCTATATGAGAACCTAGTGCTCCGATAAACATGATGCACTAATAAAAATAATATTATTTTTATGCATGTGATACACAAATAAATATAAAATCGCTAGTTCGAAGAACAGTCGCATTAAGTTTGTGCTTTAGAAAAGCAGTCAGAACCACAAATTGCTATCAAATATACATATGATCAGAACTTTACTTAACACCCAAAGGTACCTAACATGCCCCATAGTAGCTACATCAGAAGTGTTCCTGCTATGTAGTTTGCTGTGCCGTTTGTAGAAGCAGCTATTTTCACGTTGTTACATGTTGATGTATTTGTGAAGCACATACAGGAAAATATAATTATTTTATTTGTTCATTATGTTTATTTGTTTATATATATGTTTATTTGTTTTACATGTTTGTCCTGATATAGCCACAGGCAATACACTCATTTAATTAGAACTAATTTATGTATCAATGTAGAGGGATTTCTTCGATTAAAAACATAATTAAGCATACACAACATATTTGTAATTGTTATATATATTTCATTTTAAAGTGTCAATATTAAAAAAATATTAGCGTGCAAGAGAAAAATCAAACCAGTTTTGAAATCAGCACTGAGAATGCTTTTCAACCCACTCAAAATGATCTCAGAACCATTTACTCTGCTGACCAGTGTTATTTATCCATTGTTTCATTACGATCTCCTTCTAAAACGCTTAAACAGATAAAGGAGTCATTGATGCTGTCCGATATTTTTATTTATTTTTTTCGTAATCGTAAATGGTACAGAACCTGTGAACTTTCGCTGGACTGCTGAGCCGTACAATGCTCTATGGAGTTTTGGAGCAAAATTGGAGCGGCATCTGCTGGCGACAGATGTACGTATTGAAAGGGAGGGACGGCTGACTTCATTGAAAGGGAGGGACGGCTGACTTTATTGAAAATAGGGACGGCTGACTTCATTGAAAGGGAGGGACGGCTGACTTCATTGAAAGGAGGGACGGCTGACTTCATTGAAAGGGAGGGTCGGCTGACTTCACTGAAAGAGAAGGACGGCTGACTTCATTGTAGGGAGGGACGGCTGACTTCACTGAAGTGGCGGACGAAACAGGAATTGATGCTGAAGCAGGGACGAGCCGAGCTTGATTGGCTAATTAATGAAGCTCAGTGCGTCGAAAAAATTCTTATCAGTCTCTGAACTGAAATGAAAAATCAACACGTTGAAACTCCTACAACACAAATCCAACTCTGGATTAGTAGATAACTTTAAACAGTATAACCGAATGACTCAAAGTCGCTAGCAATACGTCATTACCCTCGAATTAATTTTTTGGTAAAAAATTTCATCATGCAGAATAACTTTCAAATTTGATCATTGACTCGTTTGATCATAATAAAAGCAGAAATATGTGCACTTGTGGTTTATGGGCTGCCAGCAACTCTGAACAAGACTGAAAGTCGGACAGTTGATTGCGGACGTCAAATATTAAGTTAATCCACTCGGACTTCACGAGTGAAGAAACTTAATATAGTTTATATTCAGGGGCGATGCGTCTTTGTTCAAATACGTGCAGTGCAGTGAATGACGAGCAGTGAATGACGTTGAATTTTGGAATTAAAATTATATTATTTCACTTGTTATATATGCAGCTTTACAAAAAAAATTATATTAGCAAAAAGCAAAGAAGCTAAATACGATTTTACATCATTGGTATCCAGATAGAAGAGAAATATTTTCATTTAAATCATAAATGAGGAATACGGGAAGTTAGGTACAAGAAGTTACATGTAAATATAAGAGTCTTTTCAAAAGAAGGACTCTTGCTGCCACTTTAGGTACGATAAACGAGGGTTCACGGAGGGTCCATTCGAAGCGTTGCACAAACTTTGCTGTGCTCAAGGGCTCTATGGTTCGTTCTATTGAAACGTCGACGCTGTCTCTTGCCCTAACGAGTCTGAATGTGTTAAACAAACCCTGACAGCTCAAAGGCTAGTGTTCATGACTTTCTGCGTGCAGTGGATATTGCGTTTAATACTCCGTGGTGTCAAGCGGAGATGATGGCCTAAATAGAAAATAAATAGTAAATCTAATTACATCTGTCAAAGTATGTATTTTCGTGTTTTTTAAAGCCTGGCACCACAAAAATATCGGGGTTGTTAGAGCGCATATGCAGGATATATAGCGTGTCGGGATATTACATAGACCTAAAAATTTCTCTTCTGTGGGAGAATAATGCAGCATTTCAAAACTTATCTTAAAATTTGGAATTTCGTTTGAATTTTATATTTAAATTTAAGTTAGAAGACGCAAATAGTTTTTTCGCATTTTGGAACAAGGGCAAATGGGAGTTCAATGGTTTGTACTCCAAATCGGTCTTTCTTAAATTATTGGAAATTATTTCCATAGTTATCACCGAGATTCGGGATGACGGGATTTGGGTTCCATATATTTCAGGTATGATCGAGCACATGCAGAGTCAGGCTAACCTACGATAAACTAATAAATATATAATCCACTTCATTTCTTATGAAAATCATTTAGGAGAAAAGTTTCATCTATGTGTCATAAGTTAGAATACAAGTATTTGTGCGATTACTGTGGTCCGTTTAAATGGTACGACAAAATTTACACGGTAAGAGATTGATAACCGAATTGGCAATAAAAGGTGGACAAACAAAAAACTCAACGTAGCGTGACAAGAAAAGGTAGAATAACGAAAAAAATCGAAGTTGCTTTTCCATAGAAAATTGCGTGAACTTCCACGACCTTTCTTTGGCAGTAAATTTCTAGTTTAGATGTCTTGGGTTATTTCGTGCTATAAAAACACCTTTTCAAAAATCGCACCATATCTGTTGTAACTTGCCTTGTAACGCTGTCTCAGTTTTATGCAAATATTTGCTGCCCTGTTATACTGCAATGGCTGGCTCACCTATCTTCTAATTCATGGAGTTCTGAGCCTGATTTTTCCTCGCAGCGAACTCACTAGCCGATTTTTCAACTGAAACTCTGACGAAGTTATTGCTAAATACGAGGCGATTCATTCAGTCCATCCTCCCGATGCCTCACCAGGTCTCAGTGTTCGATTGTTTCCTGCCAGGCTGGTTCACCGCCACGAGACCTGAAAGTCTTCACTTGGAGACTGGAGGCTTCTTGCCAGCCTCTACGGAGACCCCAGGTCTAACAAATTATACCCAATAGATACCAGATAGACTTAATGTTTCTGAAAATGTCATGCGTCGGTTAGATAACTCTGGTATAGCTGCTCGAACAGAAAACGTGGACCAAAAATACTCGTAACACGCGCAAACTTTCGCAATGAATTTAGGATGAATCGCGTGAATGTTGATAAATTCACATTCATGCGATTCGTGTCATGTATCATATTAGACTTGGGGTTCCGTTAAAATGTGGCATTGGTACACTGGTGTTCTAGAAACGAGATGTGAGAGATATATGTACCTTACTGGGTTATAGGCCTTAAGCCTGCACATTTATCATGAATTAAGAGTGGCAGTAGTGAGCCAGCCGTCAGTTTTTAAGACAATTTGTTGAGTATAACGGGCTCATCGTTCGGAGTAACTCATTCACAGAAAAACTTAATAAACCTAATCTCATAAGATTTCCTACAGGTGGTGTAAGGAAGACTGTTTTATTAAAAGTCTTATTTAGCTTACTTTTGCTTTTGATTCAAGTGTTGAGAGTGCAGCGAAATACTTATTATCACCTCTCGAATGATGTGCTGCTTGCTAATTTTGATTTTGTTTCATTTCAATCTACTTTCTTACTCTATGGTTGTTCAGTATAATGGAAAATTAACTTGTTAATTTTTTCGGAAGCGTTACGGGAATAGATGACGCGCTAATGTTATGGTTATGTGGTGAATGACCAAAATAGTTTGGGAACTACTTTACTAACAGTCAACAGTTGTAGTAGCTCTGCTTAAATTTTTTACGATTTTCACAGAAAGCCTCGTGAAGCATATAAATTATTATTATATAAATTATTATAAAGCCTGATTTAAACATCAGGTAGTGTTAAGCATAAATAAGCAGTAGGCGATGCTCGCAAAATTTGTATTACAGAGATGACAAATTTGCCTTTTCCAGAGCATGCGTGATCATCTTGCGACCATGAACATAACGCTGCAAAAGAGGGTCGTGAATCTGGGCTAAATTTTGATGTTATTTTAACGACGGCGGTAACGCGAGCATTAAATCTCAGGGACAAGGTTTTTCTGAAGAGCTTATACTCTGAATTACGACCGCTCTCGCTACTCCTTCGCTGAATAACGTCTTGACAAGCTTGATGCGTAAGCTCTTATTTTAACTTCGTTGCCTTCTACGTTTTTCAAGTTATTTGGCATTGATAATTTTAAAATTATGAATTTCTATCAAATTTTCCTTTTATTTTGAAGGGCCTATACCCTATAACATGAATTTACATCTCTAACTAGCATTTTATTTTCCACCCAGTGGGTATTAAAGAGCCAAATGTTTTAATTTGATGAGTTATTTTTATAAAAGTAGTCATAATTTAACTTCATTAGGAAGCTAAAAGGTATTTTAAGTAAATACATTTTCACAGGCAATTTACCATCGGAATTTAGGCATGAACCAATAAATAACCCGAAATTTCCGAATCTTCTTGGCAGAAACCATTTTATCGACGCTCTGGAAGAATCCTAACCTGAAGCCAGTTCATGAGAGAGGTCTTCTCATTAATTACGCAAACTTGATACTCTCATTAATATTCTCAGGCTTTCTGAGCCACAATTTCAACTTCCAAAGCTCATCCGTCGTTCTAAGCAGTAACTTTGCTAAAGTCTTTAATAGAGCAAAGTTTTGAAGAGACTAAAATCATAAATTTTGAGTTAGGAGCTGAAAAATCTGCTTCAGATTACCATACTTTATATACGTAGTGACCCGGAAAAGCTGTTAATTAAACGTACATTCAGTGTTTTTTCTGATTGCAATTAATTCGAGTGTTCGAATGAACTAAAATTGTTTTGTGGTTTCAAGACTCGAAATGATCGCATTAGTTGTTCAATATATGAAAATTTCTAACAGGTAAGCTGCATATTAATTATTCTGCCAAATATGTAAACTTAAAATAAAAATAGTCGAGTTAATCCCTACCAAATTTCACCGGGAGCTAATTACAGATATAAGCAGAGCCGTCTCTCGAGATTAAAGAAAGATGCCAGGGTAAATTTTTGGGGACTATAAAGTTAACAGGAAAAACTACGAAGATTCTTGAACTTCGATGGCGTCACGACGAAACTTGTGTCAGTTTCCTGATTAAGTCTCCTAACTTCACAATTCTTTTATTAAAGACAGTTTATTACTTGGTTTCCAGGGCATAAGAGAAAGGAATAGAGGAAATTATTCAACTAAAAATTTCGTCACTTTCATGATTTTGGTGGAATAGATCTCTCTCGATAGACCAAGCTCAATGAAACGCTGCAATAGAATGAATAGATCAATGGATTGTCTTCAGAAATCTCAATGTTAATAGGATGTGGAATAATTCTGAATAAACGGATGAAACTAGGGGAAGTTTCGCTCCCTTCCGCACTGCATGACTTTGAAGAATATCTCTCGGAAGCCGTCAACTTAACAATATAGTTTCAAGCGAGCTGATTTATACACAGGCAATGAAATTACTTTAAAAGAGTCTAGTCAACGCACTAACTCGTGAACCACATTTAGTTCAGAATTTTGTTGCACGTAACGTAAAGGTTCGTGCTATGGAATAGGTTCATAATATTCCAAAATAGTTCTATTAATGTTCAGCAAAATGTTCTCCTTTGGTATACTTCTTGTCCAAACTTTTTGAATACTAATTCATTCTTCACTATAGAGAAGTGCATTTCATTGTAGCTGTCCTAAGCCAAATATATAAAGCGATCTCTGCTCCCAAGTTCAAAGATTTAAAGTGACGTAGGCAAAAAATAGATCGAAGTCTTCTAGGAACTATTTGACTCAATTTTAATCGCTTTATTCACATTAGAAAAACTAAAGCTTTGACATAAGAGTTCTTACCTCGATCTTCTAGTGACGTGAAGAGCTCTAGACGTGGCGGAGCCGTTGATAAAGCCCATTCGTTTAGCCTCATTTTTGCCTCTGCATTTGTGTCTTCTCTCCAGAGTCTCCGGGGTGAAAGAGAAAGATCCCCGCGCGGCTTTGTCATCTTTGTTGACTGAAGAATCATCCACAGGGTTTCTGTCGCAAGCCTTGGTCTTAGATGACAGTAAAAACTCACTTTCGTTTGGATTGCTCGCATCCTCGACAATTTCTTCGAGTTTTTCACAAGCCATTATGGGGCTGACGAGCTGCAGCCCAGCTCTTGCTGCAGCGTCGTGCGAACTTCCTTTCCCGAAGTTAGTGCCATTTGAGTCTCCAAAAAATGAGCGCGCGTCATTGCCGTTCTTGCTGTAGTCAAATTTGGTGCAGCAAATTTGGCTTTCGTTTTGCAATCGTGACTGAACGATTCCACCTTCTGTACGATTTTCTCGAACCAACTCCGCTTTCGTAGATTCTGCTGCTCCAGACGTGGCCGTTGAGAGAGATGGACTTACAATAAAAGACGTGGAAGAAGATGATGATGATCCAGAAGATGACGAAGAAAGAATAGTGGAGGATTTAGTCGTAGGGGAAATAGGTGTGTACTTTCCGTCAGTAGAACGCGGCAAAGAAGCAGGAAGAGCGAGTGGCTCCTCGGTTTCTTTTCCATTGCTTGGCCGTAGAGCCTGAGAAAAAATGGCCTTTTTGTTGAGAGCCAGAGACTGGAAGTGAATATCATTTTCGCCATTCATCAAAGACTGGACGTCCAGCAAGACGCCGGTGTTCTTGTGCTGGTCAAGCGAGCCTCTTCCATCTTCTTTGATCAAAGGCGAGCGGCGGTCGATGGCCCGTGAGGCATCGACAAAATTTCTCAATAATGGTGAGTCGGAAATTGTTTGGGATTCTTGCCCTTGATTTTCCCTGGATGTTTTTGCAGACGAGGAGCTTGATCCTGCTTGAGGGCTCGGATGCATGCTTGTTAAAGTTGTATCGTTGGACATCCTGCGTCTGTCTGCGCTGGTAGAGGACAGCAGTAGTAGAGACGGCAAGCCAGCTGATCGGTTCACCAAAACCGTCGCTTCACTCATACTAAAAATCTGATGTTCAGTCCTCTCTCTTAGGGAATTACTTTCGTGAAGCTATTGATTCATGTGAAATAATTAGAGTATTAAGGAGTTGTTGCTTTGATTGAAGCGATCGTTAATCAGTTCAGTTTTCGAAAAAATTCTATTTCGAATCAAAACATCGTTGAGCTCCCAACGTCACAGGAGCGCTCAGTTGTAAATTTTTGCATGAAAATTCAAGCGAATATTAGAAGCATAATAATCACGAAATATTTTATAGAGCTGAAAAATGAAGGATACCAAGAGCACGAAAGGTCTCTCTGAAAAAAATCTGCAATGAAGAACATTATTATCGAAGTTAATGTTATTATTACTACTCCACTAAACTCATCGACGTTTAAAATTCATGCTGCACTATATAAGCATACAAGGGCATCTAAATCTAGTACAAAGATTCAGGGAATAAAAAAATGACTATTTCCTGCCTCGGGTCGTTGACCCGCAATACAATTATACGCGATCATTTAGAAAGTCGTCGCTAACAACTTCCTCGTGCGGGGCTGTTAGCTTTGATCGCCACTTGGACTCTAAGGCTTTTATTGGAACTTCAATGGCGCAGAGCAGAGCGATTCGTCGGATTTGCCTCCGAGATGTCGCTTGACAGCCGCTCGAGGCAGCCAGCTGAAAGGCCCTGAACGAATCAAACGACAGCTTTGATGACTTAACGAGGGAAATGTTTTGTGTCTGCAAACTCTGTAGGAAAAACAACTTCTGATTTGTTATAGAGTCGTGGCCGTGAAATGCGTAGGGTAATTACAAGCCTTAATTGTTCAGACGCAGGATCTTGATTCTTAAATGAGACGAAAATCATGTCGAATAAATTCATAAAACATTTTTAAGATTAGAGTAATAAACATGTATTTTACTAGACACTAAATATTTATAATATCCTACTTTATTGCTGTCTTGTAATTTAATTTAAAGAACTAAATTGATAACTGAGCTCAGCCAAACAAACAGATTACCTTAATTTCTACGTAAACTTGACTCGTTAAAGGGAATACTAAACGATTCGACAACAATGCACAACAAATTCCACTCAAACCAACACATAGAATTAATGTATAAGCATGCAAACTAATTCAGAAGTTTACAATCGCGAGAAAGCCTCGACATTGCTTGAACGAAACTCACTGTCTTAAAATAAAAACAAAAAACACTTTGACAAAAATCGTGAGCCGTATTCCACTGCGCTGTCAACTCTTTAAACAGGCTATTATCAATTGCCGGCTGATTAGAACAAAATTATAACAATTAATCAGCCAATTAAACAGGATTAGAACAATTAATCAGAATAATGTTGTTCTAATTAACAAGATGATTAGAACAAAATTAGAACAATTATTCAGCCACTTAAACAAGATTAGAACAATTAATCAGCCATTTAAGCAAGATTAGAACAATTAATCAGAATAATTTTATTCTAATCAACAAGATGGTTAGAACAAAATTAGAACAATTAATCAGCCATTTAAACAAGATTGGAACAATTAATCAGAATAATTTTATTCTAATCAACAAGATGATTAGAACAAAATTAGAATAATAGCTCAACTCGACGCGCCATTACAGTCAAGGCTCGGCCACACTATTTAACTGCAATTGATGCCTCCGCGTGCAGTTGTCAAGCGATCGCCGTTTGGTGTGTGTTTGTTTGAAATGTTTTTCATTGCATCAATGATTTCAAGAATAATGCGATTTTCTTTTTCCCATTGTAATACCTATTGGCTTTACAGTTACTGAAAACCTTGTAGTGGAAGCTTCTCAAGTTGTCGCTTTGAATTATTGAATTGTGTGAACGAAGTTATCCTAAAATAAAAAAAAAGTATTATGAAATAGGTACATATATAAAGTAAATGAATGGAAATAGTAAAATATTATTCGATTTGAGGACAAAAACATCAACGAATTCTGCAGAGTGTGTTGTTGTTTACCCAGCTTTAGGATACCACATAGTTAACGCTCGATCGTTGTGCTCTACTTTATTCTATAATATATTAAAAATATATTAATATATATTATTATATATAATACACTATAATATTTTAAATATATTAATATTGCTTCTCCCTAACACCTGCATTACGTCTATCTACCGGCGGAGAGAGAGCTTTCCCGGTCGCCGCCGCCGGAACATGGAACAGTCTGCCGGCTTCCGTAACATCGGCTCCTTTGTTGCAAGTGTTTCGTCAACTCCTAAAGATGAAGCTATTTTGTTGAGCCTAAGAATCAAGTGCTTAAACATTTTGAGCCGTTCTCGTATTTATTTATTTTTCAATTGTTATGAAACTCAAGTGTAACCTACCCTCGAAGTTCGTTTGAACCAAACGCCATGATAGAATAATAATAATATTAGAATAATAATAATCGTAGAATAATAATAATAAATTGTAAAAACATCGACCAAAGACGCCCAACATGATATGCAACCGTAATATGGAGCAAAGATACAGGATATTCTAAAAAAAAGTTGAAGAAACTCTAGGCTGGAAACAATAACTAGTGTTAATAAACGTTTAAACTCAATAGTCTCAACGTTTAGAGCGAACGATTGAGTCTCAATAAACGTTTAGAAGCGAACGAAGAAACAATAATGATTGCATTTATACAAGTTGCGTAGGCCAGGTGGCTCTTGTGAGTCCTTTATATTATGGTTTTAAAACAATGAAAATGCGTTATATTGTGGTTTTAAACCCATGAAAATGCGTTATATTATTCTTTTAAAACCATGAAAAACCCTTTTATTATGGTTTTAAAACCAGGAAAAACCCTTATATATTGAGTACACTCCGCCTTCCTAGCTTGTTTCACTTGCGTTCGACACACTCGCCTCCAACTTTACAAATGTTTAGTGTCCTCTCTAAACTTCGCCGCTCAACACGAGATTACGTCACAGCTCTGTATCTACAACGATGTAAACTGCATGATGTTTTTAATAATTCGAACTAGAATTCATGTTTATTTATGTAATTGCATCCACGTTGATCTTCGCTGCATAATGCTCTTAATTATTCAACTCGTAATTATTCTTTGTCTGTGCGCTCTGTGAAAAGTAATATTTTCTGTGAAAAATAATAAAATTGTATTAATAGATGATAAAAAATATAAAAATATACTCAAGTAATCATGCTTCAAGCTCCAAAAATTGATCATCTGTAGAAAAGCAGTCAATCTTCATTCTGGCACATGCGTTGTAGTTGGAAAGGATAATCTGAACAAGACCGTTATCTTATAAGAGACCGTTATGTTAAAAGAGATCTAAGTAGAAGAAACTTTTCCATTCTGGCAATAATAAATTATGCCTCACAATGATCACCTGCACGGACTGTACGCCTATGCTGTGGTAAGAAGAATGTGTGATCACACAGTCCTCAATGGTGAGAAATATCACTCGGCATGAACGCATTGATTGCGATTTTATCGCGCTAACATTTATTAAAACTCAAATAAATTTAGGCCAAATCTGCTACGGAGTACTGAAGTTTGAAATCATCAATAAATAATGACTGTATATTCATTTATGCAAGTTTCAAGCGGATGATCATAAATACAATTACTTACAATTTATCCTCGCATAAGTTAGAATATTTGTTAATGGTAACTTAAAAAATGCTTGGTTCTTCCCATCACTGATTACTCGTATAAATATAATTGTGGTACCATCATGCGCTACATGAATCATTTCTCACAATCTTAGAGTAAATAAAAATCTTCCTACAAAAGTTTTTAAGGAATATTTGTACTGATCGTGGGAAAATGTTCACTTTTAACAGTTATTAACAGTCTAATGAACAAATCGAAGCACGCATATACTCCCGATTCGCTGCATTATGAAAATCTTGTTCACGGCTGGAAAATTTATGAGCTCAGGAATATAGGGGCTAAATTTTTTTATTTTCTACCTAGCCTCTTTAATTGTAGCCATCATACGAAAGCCTATGACAGGCCTTTCGCCTCCACTGGTGATTAATTACTTTAATTAAGCATTCGCTCAATTCATCATTATCAAAATGGCGTACCTTTACAATTTAATAAATCGATATCCAATGAAATTTAAATGCAAGCTTAGTTGTTGAGGCAGCAAACAGGATAAATTAAGTTTCTCGAATCACGTAAGTTCGATTTTTTTTTCTTCTGAAATTTGCTTCCAACTTCCAAATTAACTGTGTTTGAATCGTATTTCCGTCAACTAAACATTGTAATCCTCATGTTACCCCGTAGGCCTATAAAAAATCCGACCTTAATTTTTATTAATTTGCGTGACAGAGCGCCGACAGCCTCCTAACCCAACATGAAGCATGGCGTGCGTGTAGCGCGTGAAACATCGCGTGCATGCGGCGCATGAAACATTACGCCGCTGTTAATTTTTAATAGATTTCGTCTTGTTTGCGTCGAGTTATCATTTTAATGAGAAACACAATGTTCAGTAAATTGAAATTGGCAGGAATCAGCAATATTATAAAAAGACTAGCGTAAAAATTGAAAATTGCATTCAAATGCCATTTGTTGCACAACGAGATGTTTTTGGTCAAAGTTGCACAAGTGTAATGAAATTTGTCACAACATATAAGCGCTAAAAGATATTGCTATAATCTTAGAGGTCATAAATTTGAATTTTTACAAGCCTCGTTCCTCGGCAAAATTATGAGCTTCTTTTTCGTTGCAGCCCGTGTCAAATATTTCGCCCGAGATGAAAGCATTTCATCGTTTCATTCTGTACACTTTCGTAGCAGACCGGCAGAGGAAGTCCGTCTAATATTCACTACAGTTTTTGTGACACCGACAAGAAAATTGTATACAAAAATGAGCGATGGAGTTTCGCTAGGACGGACGACCTCACTTGGTTCTGCAGGGGCAGGAGCTTCTAAAATTCAACATCTACCTCACTCATTTCGCTCCGAATCGCAGAGACGACATTTTTTTTCCATATGAACAGGAGTTGCGGTGGCAGGGAGTCTGTTGAGGATTCCTATTGTGTAATTCATGTGCTGGCAAAAGAAGAGAAATAAAGTGCGTGTGTTTCTGAACAAAATTTCTTGAACATTTCAGGACTGAGCGGAAGAGTCTGCTACTATATTAAATTTTGGAAACTGAAACATCGATTGATTGCCTAAATTGCAAATTAACCATGAACTTGAAAGCAAATTCGCATTATATTCATTTTAGTAATCTCCAATAAAAGTATATATAACATTCTAGTTATTAAATTCATAGCGTTCCTGGAGAAGAATGCTGTAGAAGAATTTCT